ACTATTGTGCGCAACCGTTTCCAGTCGTCGCCCGACGCGTGAAACACGTTTTTGAAGAGCACCGGGTGTTGATAGGGACGGGTCTTACGGTCCGAGAATAGATGGAAATCTTTTACCATAATCTGTTGGATGAGCGCCGGGTTGGCGATACTCAGCACCGGTTTGGTGCCGTTAAACAGCCTATGGTAACAAAAATACAAAATGTTGTTTATTATGTAAATACTCAATAGCATTAAATACATTATTTTCAGGTTTATTATCATGTTCAAATAATCATGATCTAAATAAGTTAAATACCCATAGACTTTGCCAAACACTTTAAACCTCTGGACGTCTACAAAAGTCATTGGTTTAAAAAAGTGGTATATATTAGTGCCGACCCGTGGGTACGGTTTGGGCCCATTTAGACCACGTTTGCGCCAGTAATTAAAGTTTTGTGTCATGCGCCTTTTGAAAACACAATTATTAATTATAATAATTAACAAAATAATTTAAATATTAATTTAATTTAATTACCAATAAATCAGTGGCAGTGCCGACAAAACAGTGATCCACGATATAAGCCATATACTCAAATCAAACAACATGTTGTTCCTATGGGACAGCAAAAGTATTTGAGATCTCTATACGTGTATTACATTCACAATGTATTGAATTAATAATTATAAACAATTTTGTTATTTGACTGAAAATACCGCAAAAACAAGTGTTTATATTAAACAGAATTTATTGATTATAGTTATCAAAGCTGTGGTCCAGACTCTGATCATTCAGAACTGACATGACTTACAAATGTAAACATTTACTTACAGTCACTCTGTGTTTACGTTTAAAATCGATGATTAAATCATATATTATTTAATTATGGATATCATGTGTTGATTATGGTTTACAGTAAACAAGGAAGTTATTGCACTGTAAATTTAATTTTATTACCTGTTAATAGTGATAATGTTTATCAATATAAAGTAGACATTTTTTAATTAAAACTTTGCATTTTATGCATTAATTACATGTACAGTATTATACTGTATAATCTCAATTTAATTAGGGTATTTTATGTAATTTTTAATTTATCAATTAATTTTATGGAATAATATAAGATAATTAAGTTATTTATGAAAATATATAATCAATTTTATTTAAATTTAACATAAACATTATGTAATAGTAAATGAATAAGATTTGACAATTTTTTATACAATAGATAAAATAGTTTAAGTTAAATATTTATTTCAATTTCTTATAGGTTTATTATAATTATAATCTAATCATATAAAGGCAATCGAACAATCTCATAGATCTTAAAACAGAATTATGGTTAAAATTTTCATTATAATTATTTTAAAAAATTACAATATTCATTAACTTAAAATTTTAGATTTAGAATTTATTTTGTATTTATATATTTTTAACATGTATTTTAAACATGTGATCTTATCTGGACAAATAAATGATTAATAACGTTAGCTATATAAAGTAGTAACATTTTAGTTAAAAACTTGTACATTTAATCTAGGTTAGAAATTTTATTTTGAATAGACTTTATAATGATTTTATAATTGAGTTTGAAATTAATATGATTTACATATTATATTTATTTATAACCTTATATTTAATATTAGTTTTATCACTGTATTCTCATCAATCTTTCAAATGACATATCCCTTATTATTCATCATTTCTAAAAATTCTAAAAATTTCTTTAAAAAAATGTACAATCTTGTGATTATCATGTGCATATAAAAAGCTTCCCATATAATAACAAATTATGGTTTATATCACTTTCGCGTCTTACAACAATTTAATTAAATGTAAATTATAAGAATATTGATTTTAATATGATTGATTATGAATGATTATAAAACAGTCAATCTAAAAAATATCATACGTTTATAAATTTATAAATAATTATTATTGCATTATACAAAATACTGAATATTATACGTGATAGATTTGTCTTAGCAATGAAAGCAATTAATAAACATTTAATTATTGCTACAACAAAGGTAGATTTAAATAATAATATTATTATACTACAAAAATACTACTTAAATTAAAATTAAAACTAGTTATTACCCGATTATAGTTAGTACCATACATGATTTATAATGAATCCAATACCAAACAATTGTCCATGGTTAAAGGATTAGAGGCAAACATTATACAAATACTGGCTCAGGCGTACAATTTTACCTACACCTTCATAGACGGCCATTCGTGGGGCAAACAGTTATCAAATAATAATTGGACCGGGATCATTGGCATTGTTTCTCGAAATGTAAATAATTAATTAGAAATATTTTAAAGGTTAATCAATTTTTCCTAATTATATCTTCATAAATATTTATATAGGAGGCAGATATAGGTATTTCCGGATTAATCATGATGGAAAAGCGCCATAAGGTAGTAGATTTTACCCAACCCTACATCATAGAGAGGGCTACATTCACGGCACCAAAACCACGTCACAGAATATTAACCAATCTTACCCTACCATTTGACTCAAACATCTGGCTATTTATTACAATCTCAATCATTTGTTTATTATTTATGCTAAAATTCCTATCAAATATCAAGTTTCAATCAAAGTGGCGTATAATAACCTGGTTATTATATCAAGCGTATCAATCAAAACAAAAACACGCAAATCCTATCAAGATCATTTTGAGCGCGTGGTTACTATCATGTATAGTGTTGGCCACCAGTTATGCCGGTTGTGTGTATTCATTGATCACTTTCCCACCAGAATATCGTGTGGACACAATCGCCGAGTTGGCTAAACAATTACAATCTAGCAAGTTACAATTGATTACGCGCAGTGCTAATCATTTTACCAGGTTCATAGCAAATGTAAAGTATTAATAACCTTGTTAAAAATATAATTTACTAATTTTTATTTATTTACACAGGGTTCGAATGATTTAATATTAAATAGTAAACTTGTCAGCAACATGATTATTTCAAGAAATGCATTCGATATGCTAAAACACTCTAAACGTAATTACATTTATATTGGTAAAAGGTCTTATATATTGTACCAGGCTAAAATAAATAATATTGGCAATTATTATATACCGGCATTCAATGACGAGACGACTATTTTATTTGCTTTTGTTTCAATGGCTTTAAACAAACAGTTTAAATATCGGGATCATTTTAACACTATGTAAGTTATGTTAATTTAAGCATGATTTCTGTTAATTATGTTCTATTTATATTTATATTAGTTTGTCAAGAATAAAATGTTCTGGGTTGATGAAATTTTGGTACAATAATATTAATCCTGATGTTTATGCAAATCATTTTGATAGACATTATCATAGATTGTCATTGAAATCATACGATACTATTTTATTGGTCTACTTAACGGGATGTTTATTGTCCACAATATCAGCAATCTTTGAGTGGAAAATTTACAAAATGTTTAAAAATTAATAAATGTGAATGTAATGTCAATTATTGTTATAAGGACATTATTTTCATTACTCTTAAATATTTTATTTAAATATGTAGTTTAATAAAATAAATATTTATAAACTAAAGATGTCATTTATATTTTAAAATAAAATTTTAATGAATGCCATTTAAAATCACTTAAATAAAAATCAATTTTATACATAACAAAATAATTATCTTATTCAATAATTTTATTATTAAATATTTGATTATTTAATTATACCGTAAATGCATTGGTAAAAATGAAAATGAGACGTTAGTAAATAAATTAATTAATTAATCAATCAATATCATAGATGACAAGCAAATAAATCTAATTAAAATTAATATTGTTAAATGACAATGGTGAGAATAAAAATGAAAATTACAATTTATAGCAAAACATAGTAGAAAACAATTTTGAAGTACAAACCAAATGTATTGCAAAAGTATTTTTAGCAATTTACTTTGAAATAAAGTATAAAATTCTTTAATAGTACTTTGTTTTTACTAAAATATTTGAATTATCAATTAATCATGAAACAAATTAACCAGAATTTAATTGTCGCCACAACCAATGTAAGTAATTCAATAAAAATAATTTAAATATAATAAAATTAATTAACATGTTTGATTAATAGACCACTCCATACGTATCAGTAAAACAAAATACAATTACAAATGCGAGTGAATTAAAGGATGGCATCGACACAAACATCATTAATATTATTGCAAAACAATTAAATTTTACGTATAATGTCATCGATTGCCACAAACAATGGGGCCTTAAGTTGGAGGGAAATAAATGGGACGGAATTATAGGACAATTGCAACAAAATGTAATTATTTATATTATTTTATATAATAACTTTTACATCAAAATAAGTAGATTATTTATTATAAAAATTTTGTTAAATCTAGCACGCTGACATAGGTATATCTGCCATACTGCTAACCACTGACCGCCAACAAGTTGTAGATTTTACATATCCATATTTAATTGAGCAAGTTACATTCACATCACCATCGGTCAAATTTAATAAAATGATCAATCCATTCAAAATATATAATATATTCATCTGGCTATTAACATGCTTGTCAATTATTACATTAAGAACGCAATTTTATATAATTTCGCGTAAACACATAAATAGTTTATCATTATTATCTTGTTTAATTAAACAACCATTTGGAAACAAATTCATAGATAATTGTTTAGCCAGAATCATTTTTAGCACATGGTTGTTGGCTTGCATTGTGTTATCATCTTGTTTTGGTGGATGTATTTTCTCGCTAATGACTTTTCCGCAATCTATCAAGGTAGAGACAATAAACGACCTAACGCGTTTGGCAGAACTTGGCCAAATAAAATTATTAGCCAATGCACCGGGCTATTACAATCAGGTTGAGGTAATTATACATTTTGAATATCATATCTCCCTTTGCAAAATATACAGGAATTTTATGGAATACAGAAATAAAAATTAAAAAACAAACTGTAATACAGGAATTTTTAGCAATTTGCTTATATTTATTTAAAAAATTTAAAATGTTATTTGGCAACGCCTAATCATATCAATTTATTAAATTGTTTATTCAATTAATTTAACCAAAAATGGTTTTATTTATTTAAGTTTTTATCACTTATGAAATACATTGAAACAAAAATAAAAATAACATAATTTTGTTTTTAATTAAATAGGATAACCTTATGTACATTAAATTGTACATGATATTACAAAGGTTACTTTTATAAATTAATAAATTAATTAATTTAATTACATGTACATTTAGGGCAAAACATATACTGAATATTATGGAAAAATTGGTCAATACATAGAATTAGTGGATCCACAAACGAACTTGTATAATATTTTAAAAAACAATCCTGATAAATATTCATATATCGGCAAACGGATTAATCTATTACATAATTTTCAAACATATAAAATAGTGGATTATTATATACCCCCGCATAACGAGGAAACAACATTTCAACTCTCATTGGCGGCCATTGCTATGCAAAAATATTTTCCATACAAACGCCAATTCAATCAAATGTAACTTGTTAGAATCTAGATCAATATAATTAATATGTCCATGTTCAATATCTGATTTTATATAAAATTTATTTTCTAGTATGTCCTATATTTCAAAC